AAGGATTCTGTGATTCTATGATTCTAGATCTGCTCTCTCATGCTGACCCAGAGGCTATCAGCTGGCTCGTTGTACATTCTTTTTCCCCACAGGTACTTATTTATCTGCATACAGTTACGTGCACCCCGTTCAGCCCCCCCTCCCCTTTTTTTTTTATTATGAAGACTATCCTGTTCATATCACTCATATGTTTTGCACTAACTCTTCCCACCACCTTCTCACTTGATTATTGAGCATCCACTTCTTCCCATGTTTTTCCAGGGTTAAAGTTCAGGCTGGCCAGCCTTTTGGCAAAGATGTTTTTGCCAGGAGGATCACATCTCTTCCAAACAGTCCTTAATCCTCAAAAAGGGTCCCATGGTCCTAGAAACAACATCCCTTTTGCCAATGTCAGCTGTGCTACCAATTGTTGACCAGCAGGATCCATCTACTCCTCCTTCTCTCCACCCTCTCCCTCACCAGCAGGATCAAAGAGAAGCCCACCTAGGCTCACACACTCTTGACCACCATGCCCAGAGCCTGGTTGCTACTTTCCAGGACTCCCCTGGAAGTATCATTACTACTCCCATGGAAGAATAACAAGGGGGAATACTCTGTAGGTATAATAAGTTTTGCAAGTCTTTTAGCAATGTCCACGATACAAGCCCATGGCATACAGTAAACCTCCCTAGATGACAGGTCCAGAGCTGTCAGAGGAGGCTTCTGTTCCTTGCAGCAGGGAGCCTTCCATTACCACCACAACTTTTTCTGGTGTTCCTGTGTGGCTTATAGTCAATGTTCTCAGACACCTTGATTGACAGAGCTCCCAGCTCCTTATTTGCTATGACAGTACTGGATCTATTCTGTTGTTGCAGATCTTCAGGTGAAGCAAGAGGCTTTATCTTGGTACCAGGAGTCACAAGCTACCAGCCTTTGTTATTATGGGATCCTCCGTTTTCCATCCTGACCAGCACAGACTGAACCTGCCTCTCCTTTGTTAGAAAAGGGAGGAGTGGGCTCTCAAAGCTACAGACTCTCAGAGATTGATTCCATTTCTTTCCATCAGAAACTGGTCAGCATGAAGATTTAATCAATCTGCAACAACATCTCCCTTACTCTTTAACAGCCACTTCCATGGGTACAGTGCCTTTACCTAACAAACAACAGGAATTTTGCCTGTTGTCTCATCTTATATAAAACAGCATAATGACTTTCCAAGGCACCAAATGACCTCCAGAAAGTAACTCTAAGTAACTAGATGTTGTGGTTTGAGGCTTGGAATGGGGTCGTGACCTTCCAGCAACTGGGAGGACCCCGGGTGGGGGTGAAACCATTGTATTCCCTCCCCTTCCCACACACACTCTGATAAGAGGCAGGGAGTGGTTTCTAATTTCACTCCTGCCTTGGAGCTCGGAGAGGAAAGTTGTCCTTTCACTCCGTGGGACCCTGGAACCATTTCTGAGGGTTTTGTATATTTTATTTTTTGTATTATTCCCCTAATCTTTGTATATATTATTTTCCTTACCTCCCTTTTTTCGTTTTCTGTTCCTTGCTGAACAATATACTTCATTTTTTTTCCAAAGTGTCTCTCTCTCTCTCTCAGGGGGGGAGAGGTGAGTACATAGTTCTGTTCCGTGTGGGTCCTGCCCTGAACGCCTTTTTACACGGAACCAGGACACTAGATAAGGCACATTCCTCATGCTCTTGACTAGTGAAAGCAATTTTAAGATGAAAAAGTAGACAGCTTCCTGCAGCTCAGAAGACTTTTCATAAATGCTGTGAGATAGCACTAGAAGTACTGGCAATTTTTTTCCCCCCTTCTTTCTATCCACCTTAACTCCATGAGGCTTTCCAGAGGTGTCATGTAATCCCTAAGCTTTCCATCATAATTCAACCTTTTTGGTGTTATTTTAGACAGTTCTTTAAAGGCCGTATGAGGTTTCCTCATGTGGCATGTTAGGTCAGAAACCACCCAAGAAGTCATGTGACTGCCTGTATAATCCAAAATCCTGTGTGGTGAAGAAGAAGGAAGAGAGTTTTTGTTATGAGATGTATCATTGTGTTCCTGGACTGGCTTACCACAATGATATGAACATCATAAGGCCCTGTACAAAAACCCAAAGAAGGAAGAAAAGGCAATATATTTTGGATGAGAAAGGACATGGGTGACTGAAATTATTCTGGAGACAAATACAACATTAATTTTGTATTTCTATTTATCATGGAAACACAGAGCTCACAAGGTTTCTAAAAGACAGAAGAAAGGGAGACCTTGGAAACTCCATACCCCATCAAGCTGTTTGAAATCCTGGAACTACTCAATTATTCTTTTTCCTTTTCCAGTTATAGAAGAAAATATGGCTTGGGATACCCTTATGGAGTTGCACACGTGAATGACTGGGACAAACACCACACTTTTAATCTGGTTTTACAACACTTTTGCATGCCATGAGGAAAGATTTATTGAAATAAGAATGAACAGTGTGTGTGGAATAAGCTGGTATTTGGAAGTGGGACCACTCTCACAGTTGAACCAAGTAAGTATCATTGTTTTATTACTAAAAATTTTGTTAAAATTAAGGTGGTGGAGCACAAAGGAATCTAATGCTTTGGGTTCACTGTAGGAATTTTGTGCTGCAGTAATCCTTAGAGTGCACTCGTTCTGGCCAGGGTTTCAGGCTGAGTCCTCTGCTTGTATCTGCTTAGGAAAGCTTCACAGGAACAGCTGGGCTGCCTCTATCACCATCAGTCCGTGATCCCCAGACACCAGGGATGCACTACTCAACTTTAGTGTATTAGAATTTATACCCAGTCTAAATTCCCAGTGCTCTCTGGCCCAAATTTACCCTGAAGTGTCCTTATCCTCCACTGGATTTTCTCTGCCCCATTTGGGCAAGAATGCACAGCTCAGTGAAGAGCTGACAGTTAGGAGAAATTCTGAGTTTTTGAAACCTGACCCTTTTGTTGTGAAATCTGGATTTCTTTGGGAGATACTAATATGCATTTTGAGATGTTAAGAACAAATTGACTGTATTACTCAAATATTTTGAGAATCCCCCAAACTAAAATGACATAGAAAAACATGCATGAGTAGGCATTGTAGGGCATTCAAAGCATAATCTCTTGATGGCTTAGTTAAGGGTTTCCTTTTGTTTTAGCTTGATCTGTTCTACGTAAAATTTTCATTCAGAATATTAAGGCACATTACATAGAATATATAGCTCTTCTCATGACTTTGTAACATTGAAGGGTTAAAGAAGTACAACTTTTTGTGCTAATAAAATGCTGCTGAATGTAATGCGTACATTCCTCCCAAAGCAAGCAGTGATAGGAATCCATGGCTGTATTTTCAGGTAATGCAAGATAGTGGGACTCAATTGAGACTTCTGAGGTCTGATAAATCAAAAATTCTGCTTTATTAATTACATTTATATTGTGTACATTTGTTCTGGCTTATGGTATTGCCTATTGAGTTATGCCAGGGAAGCAGCTTGCCAGTAAAGCTTGCTAGGAGGCTGTTTGGAAATAGCGGAGATAAGAAAACATGGAAGATCTTCTCAGATAACAAAGAACACTCAGGACTAACAGGCTCTAGCAAACCCATGTTACAGCACCTGGAAAGGAAATTATATGTAGGAGGAAGGGCAGAATGATCCTTTTTTGATTTACATGTTTTAACTGTGCGTTACTGCTGCTCTTGTCTTTGGGAATGGGACTCAGCTGACCGTGGAGCCAAGTAAGTAACCTTTATACATGGACCTTTTCTGAGTTCTTACTGTCTGGATTGTCACTTTTTTTCCTTTTTGTCTTTGTAAAATTCAGGCAGCCACTCCCCCATGCTTTAGAGTCACTAATTTAAGCTTTCTGTGTATAACAAGTTTAAATGCAATTAGATAATTTATGTGTAAAAAACATGCTGATCCCTTTTCTAAGGAGCTGCCAAAGAATTTGGGCTCCACAAGTCAGGGCACAAGGGCAGAAGGGCAAGTCCTGTCTGCTGTTGTGTTGAATTTCTTTGGGACCTAACATCTAGCCACTTACACATGCATCTTAATAAGCTTTTCACAGTAATTGAGGTCTTAGAGTCATCCTTGGACAGTCTAAAGGGAAAAAAAATTTCTGTGGATGTTGACGTTTAAGTTCCAAAGAGTTTCTATTCTGTCAGAGTTAAACAGCAAAGAGTAGAGAAGGATAAAGTACAAAAGTGTTAAACGGATTCTTATGCAACATTTCTGTACTAGTTTAAACTTACTAAATTGTTCAGAGTTTGGGTTAAACTGAATAGGTCAAAGGAAGTGAAATAATGTGTAATTCCTCTTTGGTATCTGTTTACTGTAGGTGTTGACAAGAACAGTGGTGCTTGTTTTACTGTTAGACCCAACCCCTGAGGTTATGGCAGAGCACTACTGGGCTTTCTCCTCAGCTCCTCAGTATTGGGGTGTGGGTAGTGGGGAAAGAGAGTAAAACCAAAGCCCCTTCTAAAAAAGTATTCTGTGATGAACCAGACGTTAGACCTGAGGCCTTTCCTGACCAGACTGCATGGCAGGAGCCATGCAAAATTCAAAGCCTAACACACCTCTCTTTAGCAAAGAGATCCATCAGGATGCATCTGTCAAATCTGACATAGACATCTGTTGATATGTCTGATAGCCTTTCATAAGCTGAACCCTTTTTGGCAAGGAAACATGTTGGAAGATTCCCTTCCCTTTCATGTTTTTATTATAATTTATGTTTCCAGCCTTGCCCTGACGTTGGTATGTGGCATCACCCTGGTTTCCCCACCTGTGACCTGAGGGCAAAGATGTTTTGGTTTTTAAATCATACTATAGTGATGATTTGTGGGCAACTAAATTATTTTGAAACAACTGTATTTCATTACTTATATGTCTTATGAGAAATTCCCAGAGAAAGCTGCTGCTATATATTTGAAATTCAGGCTTTTGCAGTTTTCAGGACTCTGTTGTTCATGTATGTTGCTTGAAAATGGGAATTCAACTCTAAAATTTTTCCCAAACTGAAAGGATACATTTAAAAGTTTCAAAGTAACTCTTCTGAAAGATATGAAAACTTGTCAGCATCTTTTAGGTTCTTTAAAAACTCCAGTTCTAGGGCATTTCTGCAAGTGATGTCATTCAGTGGAGTAATCTTGCCCAACAGTGGAACAACAAAATGAATTCTCTTTGCCCTGCCACTCTTGCTTTGGTTAGAACTTCCAGACACATCAGAAGATTTGAGGGAGGGTAGGACGAGTAAAGGAAAACCAGTTATTCCCTCATGTCTCATGAATATGCAAGACAGTCCTTGATAGCAGTGTTATTTTTAGGAATGAAGTTGTTGAGAAAGCAGAATGATTTGCCACTTGTAGAGGCATGCATCAGTTCTCATTTGCAGGTCCTTTTTTTTACAAAATAAAGACTTCACATGTAGGCACAAGCTTTGGCAAAAACGTTAGAATCCTGTGAAATTAGAGCTCCTATTAAACTGTCCTCATACTCCCTTTCTGCCTTTGATCTGATCCTTTGGAAGCAACAGCAAGAAATCACAACAACAAAAAAAGGCAGTTAGTCTTTAATAATGATAGGAATTAATCACAGCTTGTGTGTATATGAACTTTAGGTCACTTAGCACTCAGGCAAGCTTGCAATAAAATCAAATTATGCCCAAACAATGTTTTGGTTTATTTTTTTAATAGACAATCAAAAAAGTTCTGACCCACAAGTGATTGTGTTGAAATCAAAGGAACTGGAAGAAGGTGGCAGCATGGGGAAAGCAGCTTGTTTGGCAAGGAATTCCTCTACGAAGAACATCAGCTTGGAGATGTCCTCTGATGAAGTGGTGTATGAACAGAGTGCACCCGTTTTGACATCCCAGGGGCTGTACAGTACAATCAAAGTGGTGAATGTGACAGGAGGCACAGAGGTCACCTGCATGGCACAGTTCAGCTCCAGCACCGTTACAGCCAGCGCAGCTCTGCCAGGTACAGGTCTGTGCTGCAGCTGCAGCTTCTCTCTGCAGGCTGTGTCTTCTACTGCTTGCTAGTGCTCCTGTGAAAATGTCTGTGCTGGGTTTACAGTTGGTATCCATGATTTTAAAGGTCTTCTCCAACTTAAATGATTGTATGATTCCAAGATTTTTGATACTTAAGCAAGTAGAGCTGAAAGATACTTAAAGATACCTGAAGGAAATGGTCTTAGCTGTCCAACAACTTGGGGTTACTTTTTTCTTTTTAAAAAAAAGACACAATATTTAAAAATGTCTGTGCTGGGTTTACAGTTGGTATCCATGATTTTAAAGGTCTTCTCCAACTTAAATGATTGTATGATTCCAAGATTTTTGATACTTAAGCAAGTAGAGCTGAAAGATACTTAAAGATACCTGAAGGAAATGGTCTTAGCTGTCCAACAACTTGGGGTTACTTTTTTCTTTTTAAAAAAAAGACACAATATTTAAAAAAATGTACTTATTACTAAATACTTCATCACGTAGCAGCAAACGTCCCAGGGCACAGCCTGAAGTAGCCTTTCTAAAAACAAAGAGTTGAAGTGGTGCTGTGGGGTCTTTTTTCCTAAACCACTTTTTAAATATTAAGGGATTGGTTTTGTCATCATGAAGCTCATTCCAATAGGAAACCAAAACCAACTCAGGAATTCTTTTGTTTCCTGCAATTGCATGGAGGAGTTTTCTCACATTGTTACCATTAGTGGCTGGTCAGCTGAGCCTCAGACTGTGCTGCCAACCTGGGCTCTAGGAACATTTTGTTTAATCCTTTTTAAAATGTGGATATCATTTATAATGCCTCTTCTTTATCCAGCTACAGAAAAGGAGGCTGAAAAACCAGCAACGGAGAAGGTTTGCAACACCACAGACACCTCTGCTCAAGGTTAGTTACCTAAACAGACTGTGAGCTTACTCTGTGGGTTAATGCTTGGAGATGGATTTTCTCAGGGGTAGAGGCATCAGAACATTAGAATGTTCATCAAACACAACCTGCTTTTTCAACCTAACAGACAAGTAACAGGCAAGCAATAGGAAGCAAAATCCACTCTAGACAGACATCCTCTTCCCCTCTTGTTGCCGTGTTTCTCCACCATATTTCCCTTTGCTGTTGTTTCTTTCCCTCTAACTGTTACTTGTGGTTTTTTCCCAATTTCTGCCAATATCACAATATCCAAATCTAGGCCATGATCTCTCCCGTGTTTTCTCTATTACTAAGCAGATACCTATGTGGAGAAAAAGAACATGCTTTCTGTGGCTGTGTTGGGTTTGAGAGTCCTGCTGGTGAAAACTGTCACCTTCAACACACTTATGAGCATCAAGTTGTTTCTTTTCTGAGGTAAGGAAGCCCATAGCTTCATCTGTAGACAAACTGGAAGCACACGTCATGAATGACCACCTGTCTCTCTGTGCTTTTCCAACTCCACAAGCAGTGATACCTTTTCATCTGCTCCTTTTTCCTTTAAATAACTCCTGAAGATTTCAGGGAAAAAAAAAAAACAAAACATCAATGATAAAAAAAACCCCAACAAACAAAACCAGAACCACCAAAAAAAGAACTCCTCCCCAAATCCAACTAGAAAAACCCCACTCGCCCTCCCAAACCACCAAGAAGACAGCCCCTTTTTGCATTCAAAGCTCTTTTTTTTGGTAGCTGGTCCCCAAATTTTCTTTGCATCAAACTTGCTTTGCCATAGCAGCTCAGGTATTACCAGAAGTGCCTAAGAGATACCTCATTGGCTATTTGAATGTCAGAGTACAAAGCCTGGAGAAAATCAAGGCAAATAAGGAGTCAAAAGCAAGGCTCCCAAAAGATAAACATGAAGTAGTGGGAGGAAAGAGAGGAGGGGGGAGGATTTTTAATGTGCCAAAAGAAGCACAAAAGACAGTCCATCCTGACTTTTCTGAGTCTACCTATCTTGATATGACAACTATTAAACAGTCATAGGTAGGCCTAATTGAATTAAATGCAGTTTAAAACACACTTTACTCTTCCAGGCAGTGGAGAAGCAAAGGCAGCAGCCACCTGAAGAACATCAGCAGAAAGCCTGTGCCAGCAGCACCTCAGATGGAACAGCCAGTGTCAAATCTGCTGCCAGCAGCCACCCAGAACACGATGCAG